GTAGCAATTTGCCGCCCTCGGAGAGATGGAACGCTTGGGTGAGCCTGAGGAACGGGGATCGTTTCCGTGCTTTTCACAGGGTGCCTCCGAACAATGCGCTACGCGCGCCTCAATAATAAAGATGCAAAACTCATCCAAATTTCTTGAATCTTTTCAAAAATGTGCGCAAAAAACTGCTTAGTCGATTGGATGACTGTTGTCCACACTTTTGATCCTTGCGGGTAATCCTCGTGTGGCACAATAGTTGGTAGCACCACTGCAACACACACATGGAATCGATCCCCGTGCCCATGATCCACCAAGTCCTCTATCCCTCCAGAGTCAGCAAATTGGTACCAGACTTGTCTGCGAGGATAGTAGCACTGGTTCGGTACATCAGTAGGCCACCATGGATCACTGTAAAGGCCAGATATGTGTTCAATCATCTCCAACGATGCTTAATGAAGTCGAATGCATGGCGCATCTCTCAGAGATTGATCAACGCCATGAGCCTTTTTTTAACTTTAAAACGACAACTAAAGCTACACGTAAAAACTTGGAAAACCTTCGTGGACGATGGATGCGAGGAAACGAATTGAATGCGAGAAGTGCTGGGATCCGCACGGTAGACGTGAAGACGTATCAATTGAAACAAACCATAAAAATTAAAATAAATGCGGTTAAGTTAAAAATCCATTAACGCTGCATGTTCTTTTAGCAAATCATATAATATTTCATCTTTAAAAAAAAAAGACCCACATTAGCGTAGAGCGGAGTGCGTTGTCATTCAGCCTATGAAACATGACCGAGGGGATCTTCGTAGCTATCGGCCTACATGATGTTGAGTGTATTCTACAATTTGTTCACAAACATTACCTTTGTTGAATGTTGAGTACCTTGAATAAGACGCGATAACATGATCAGGCAAAATTTCAACAGGGATTTTGCTGTATGGAGCACATGCAAACCGTGTCACGGGTCATAGATGCCTGTGGAGTTGCCATTTTCCTCTTGTCGTAACCTTCACTGATAATAAGAAAGCTTTTGATAGCGTCGAAACGAATGCGAAAGCAGTCGTAGACCAAGGAGCAGATCTGTGCTACTCAAGAACTCTATCTGACTGTTATCATAGCGTCACCAAAGAAATACACCTTTTGCACTAGCATTCTCATAGACGAAGGTGTGAAAGAAGGCGACACTTATCCAAGAAAGTTTCTTGTAGAATGAACTATAAATATATGGATAATACAAAGCCGTCGAAATGCTGATGACACCGTCATTTTTCTCGAGAAACACCGAGGAGGTAGGAGAAAATGGAAAATAAAGAAAGAAAAGTAACGAACATTTAATGGAAATAAAGAACAGAACAGAGGAGGAAATATGCAAAGAGAGGGCAACATGAGCTCCATCCGGGTTTCTCGAAGGAGCCATCGGCCAACTAAAGGGCCAGAAATCGCGCGCTCACTTTTTCGACTCGATATTTCTCCAAGCATTTTGTAATACAGCACAGAAGTTGGCTGATACTTCAGCCATGGCAAAAATTCTGCACAACACCCACGAATGGCTTGATTTTCTTATATTTAGCGTGCATTCACAACGTCAGATCGGAATGTGAAGCTCAGACCTTGGAAAGCCATCTCATTTCCGAGACACAAGAAATTACACATAGGCAGCAAAACATGGATGCGGGGGTCATATTATGAGAAACGAAGACGATAGATGGAAGAAATGTAGGGTAAATCCCACGCAAATTCGAACGTCCTCTGGTGTGGCGAATGGGCAGACGTACCAAAGTTGATCAGCTGCATTCGCAACTGGAATCACTTCACAGGTTACCACTTGACTCTCTCACGAACGATCATAATAATCAAAGCATCCCAAGGGCATTCCTGAAACTGAGAACAAGTGGGAAATATGGACTGGTACTCCTATTATTCATGATGATGGACCGCGAAAATTTCAGTAAGCAACCGCACCTCTATCACCACTAAGGAGTTGTTCGAAAAGAGAAGAACACTGAAGTTTGATCCTACTGTAACACAGCTAATATGACTGATAATAAATATCAGCTGTAGAAGATCATTGCAAGAGGATTAACACCAGTGATAGAAAGAAAAGGTACTGGAAGCAGCTCAAAAACGACCCAGTCTGAAGAAGCCCCGTCGAAATCTTTGCAGCTATGACGTTTCGCAACCCGCCATGATGAACGAAGATAGGGCTATCATTACATCCGTCACAATATGGAATTGACAACGGAAAGTCTTATGGCAGTACCTTAAGTTCCACAATCCCTGTCTCCGACCTCAAAATTCCCACTGATGGGAAACTTTCCGAGATTCTACCCTTTGAAGCTCGAGCTACGAGAAAAAACATGTCGACAGGCTACTAACTACTATTGTTGCCATCATTTTTATTGCTATTGTTGCAATAATTATTATCCTTATTGTCGTATTACATATTGTGCAAGCATAATGAATTATCTAGTAATATTGTTTTTATACAATGGAAATACAAGAATTATTTTTTTCCGTTGTTTATTTTACATGGTCTGACAGAAATGGTCTAGTGTGTTTGTTTTACATGGTTTGTACAGATTCCAGCGCTTCTTTGCTATTTGTTTCTTTGCTTCCGTAATCCACGGATGTCCTGATATTTGGCTGTGGATCAGGTTTCTGCTTGAGGCCTTGACCTTCCTTAAGAGTACCGTTGAATGCTGGTCCAGTTTATTTTTTCTGGGTTTCTCAGATAGCCATGCTAGAGCGTTTCTACGTCTTACAGAGCGGAAGGAGCTCCCCAAATAAGTCTAGCACCAATTTTGCGGCCCCCGTGAGAGTGAAGAACAGGTGGATCTGCGGCGCTGGATCGACTGATCGTAGATCGCAACCCACTTTTAACCACACTTCTACACCTAAATGACATGGTGTATAATACGAAAAAAGCAATTTTAAGGAGTATAAATGATTAATTCTCCTAACGGTTTGCCTCCTCATCGTGGCTGGGAGGTGTTCCTGGGTGTCGGACTGCGATGTACAGCGAAGGATTCATCACGTCGGCAGGGTCTGCCAAGCTGAGAAGGAGTCCGGCGTTTCCATCACGAAGCCTTGCTAAGAGTAAACCAATACCAGAATCCTCCACCGTTTTGGTATCAAATTAGTCGCATGGTAGCAAATCTTCCTCTGATCCACAGGGACGGCAACTGCCTGTGGTGGTTACCTGAGCCAGACTTTGGCCAGACTGATCTCGGAACTCCAGAGGAACACTATGGCTAAACCAGTAAATCTCCGATAAATGGTGATTATGCTGAGGCTTGCATAAGCAGTGAGGACGGGCCATTCAAGTGTCAAGTCTCATAAATGATTAATAGTTGTGAAAAGAGAAATAATAGCACAAAGCGTAGTAATATTTCGAAACCGACCTTCCCTAAACCTCGGTGTGACTAATCATTATGCATTCTTTCTTGATAAGCTTGCACGAGGTTGATAAATATATTTATTTTCGGCTAACGTTTCGACGTCTTCGTCTTCCTCAGAGCCGGTGATCCGAGTCGATGGTCCATGCTTGTTGTTCGCCTCGACGTTGCGTCTTCGCCTTCGTGTCGAGCCAGATCTTCCTCAGTGAGCCATCTTCTCTGATTCGAGATGATTGCAAGCTTATCAAGAAAGAATACATAGAAATAATAGCAACAATTAACGAACCATCTTAGTTTCCAATTTGCTAAAACCTGAATCTTTTTGCCTGTGTTTCTCTCACCGACTACGTTCGTCAGTTTTTTACAATTCTGAAGGAGGGTGTTCAGTTTTTCAACGTTCATTACGGAGCTCTGTATTTGTCGATAGGAGCATGGTGGTATTCTTAGCAGAGGCACGACCGTTGAAACCGCTCCACATGCAAACACTATAGCCGAAACATGTCAAGAATAAACTAGGAAAATAGGAGTTTCCATACATTTTTTACTACATGTCGATAAACTCTTTTATTTGATAGTCAGCCAACATCTAATCACGCCATATAATAACCTAGAAGAAGGTAAATAAATTTGGCAATCCCATGCCACCATATAACCATCTGCGTTGTAAATTGGTATCAGAGGAATGTAAGAGTGCGTGCAGCGCAGTGGTCAGAGGTGCTTTACGATACACACGTGCTCATTGGTTCGATCAGGAGACCTGGGTTCACCAACCCTTCCACCTACCTGGGTTCGGTGAATTGTTACCAGCCTCCACTTGGAGGAGAGCACAACAAGCTTGCACGTCCTTAGACCATCGCATGTCATTGTTCAAGCCAGATAAGCATTCAGTCACCTCTAACGATGCCTAATGAAGTCGACTCATAAATTAATTGATCAATGCCGAAGGCTCTATACATTATCATTTATCAACAAGGTACATGAGCTGCATCATCCGTCTAATGCTGTTCGGAACCGAATTTTTAATGGAAGATATAGAGGCGGAAATATTACTACTTTGATGGTTAGTGCTTTATTCCGCAAAGGATAGTTGATAAAGAGTTCGGCTTCGATCAATTAATCCCTGAGTGATACGCAATGCATTCGACTTCACTAACCATCGTTTGAGGTGGTTGAATCTTAGCCAACACAGCAAATTTCGGTGGTGTGCCGATGTACCAAGTCAGTGCTACTCCCCTCATAAACAACTTTGAAACCAGTTTGCTGACCAGGAAAGGATGGAAGGCTTACTGACACGTGGGTGCGGGATACACGAAATCACTGCATGTGTTTATTGATGAACACCTCTAGCTACTGCGCTATATTCACCCACTTTTCTTCATGCTTTCGGCAATATTGTTATCTCATTGCTGTTCTTGAACTCTCAGCACCTCATTCGATATGTAACTTCGTCGTTTTTTTTGAAGTTGAAGAAATCTTTCCCTTATTATCACTTTTGTTACTTTGATCCGTATTCGCGTTATCCATAAAACGATGATCATCTCGGAATGTTTTTGTCAAGTGTTCAATGTTACTGCATTACCATAACAAAGCGGTTATTTATTTTAAAACGTCGTTAGTCGACATCGTCGACCATCACCCTATCTGCGTTTTTTTTAGGAGCAGACGCTAATTCCGTGTTCAGCTTCATGGCCGCTATCATCGCCTCACAATCGTTTATCTCTAGCCGTGAGTACTGATATTCAGGGCGAGGTATGTCGGCGCGTTCCATTTCGTTCAAGTACGGTCGAAGCACGTCCAACACCTGAACATCATCATCTCCAGATCAGTAGATGAAAAATCCGTGTAAAGTTATGTATGAGTGCTATTGACCATCATGCTGAGATAGAATGTGACTAAACTATGGTATAGTATGGATTTTGTCATAACAAAAGCTTCATTGTTATTCTGTATAGTGGCGAATTTTGTCCATATTCAATAAAATCAAGTAAACTACACCTTAATAGCACTACATTCACTGAGGCGAACAACGTGCACCAAGAAATCGAAACAACAAAAGTCCTTCAACCGAGTGCCAGTCATTTTCTGAAACCACTACCCGTTTGACAATCGACAAAAGATTACTTATGCATTTCTGTTTAACGATAAAAGTAGATGTGAGTGGCAAAACCCATTAAATTTATGATGAACTTTTTATGGATCGACCTCTTTATATAAGCAAGTGAACTCTCGTTATTAGGTATCTGGTGAGATCCCAGGCTAGTAGGAGAGAGGCGCGGACCAGAGGCGACCTCGTAGTTGCACTACGATGCCGATGGGCTCACAAATTGGACTCACTGGATAGGTGCAGCTCATTAACGATATTCTATTTGCTTTAATCGCCAGCTGAATTCACGAAATGGACACCGACTTTCGTCTAGCTTGATTCACCTGTTATATCATCAATTTACACCTAATCATATTCTTGTATTTATGTGTTGTTTTGATTGGATGTATCCACTAATACGCTAAGGTGAATTGACCGTGTAGTTATGTGGTTGGAAACAGTGGTACATGCGATCGTGTTGCCTTTATAGTGCTACCACTTATGGGCGTCTAAAGGAAAGTCTTAACATATCGACTCTATCATCGTCATTAATGCCGAAAAGTTCCTACCATTACTAGATCCAACACTTTAAGAAAGACAATGAATTAAAGTAGTAAGTTAAAACAAGGAAAAACAGTCAAGTGCTTTATGGCACATCATGGGGATATACTGGATTGTGCGCAAAATTTAAACAAACACCGAAAAGACAGCGGTAGTTTTGACGCTGGTTACTAAAAATGTAATGCGGCACCGACAGATGCAGTGCTAAGTAAAGGCTTTACTCCGTTTACCACAGAGCCACTCTCAGCTCTACGTAGCCGTTTAACTTTATCATGTTTGTCTACTACCAACAAAACAACAAGAAACATTACATCTTATACACTAACACAACTAGCTCGTGATGGGATTCTACTACGTGAAGGCATGCCTCTTAAATGCCGAATTAGTATGATGTGAAAGTGTGTGAGTCCTATAACAATATTTCATTATTTGTTGACGGGTGATTGCTGTTTGCAAAGATCGATAAAACTAGCTGAGAGACAGGCGAAACGAAGGACCCGCATGGTGTGATGGTGAACACGTTAGCCCCCGGAAAGAGTAACAGCGCGTTCGTTCCCCACCGCAGGCACCTGCGGTCCGGAGTTGTGCAATTGTCTCAGCAACGTTATGGTTCTATAACAATAGTTGGTTCGAATACAAGAATAATGTGCTCGTTATAACACAAGAAACTTACATTGTGCACCAGTCGTTCTACTTCAACGTCGGTGATTAGGTCTTTGAGGAAAGTGATAACTTCTTCTATGTTCCATTGTCTGAATGGCTTCTTAATGGTACGAATATCCACCTAGATGAAATGGAATAAACAACTGTGGAGTAACGAGGTTAAAACACTGAGGCACTCCTTCGGTGTCTAGCCATCTGTAAACCACGCCTATCGAGGACATTACAAACCCTTCGTGATTTGACCCTTACTTAGTCAATCGATACGCATCTGTTGAGCTGTGAATATGCGCTGGTGCTGACCAGCGCTTGAAAATTGCATTGAGTTCAACTTCATTACTTCATTAAATATTGTCAAAAGAAAAATCACCATCTATTTGGACAGTAGTTGGATGACCGTGGTGAGTTTATGATACAAATGATGATGTCTCCGCTCATTTCACCTTTTATACACATTTGTTTATCGTTATCATAAAATTGACAACAAGTTTTCACAAGAATTGGGAATCAGCGACGGGTATGATTATCGAGGTGCTGTCGAAAAAGTCACTATCAAAGTGAGTGACACGAACCCAGTACTTTTTGACCATCATAAAAATGCCCGACAAACTGATGCCGCGTACCAGGTCCGACCTCAAGGATCTGCTAATGTGATGATATTCACCAATACTCTGTTAATCGAAGTCCAGGCTTTCAATTTTTAACGCCGTCTAATTCCGTGCATTGAAAAGCCTTCGCGAGGCCTTCGGTTCCACTGTGACCGTTTATTCCGTCCTTCGTTCACCAGTGTTTTGCAGTTTCATTTTAAGCACTGTCACAATCTTTTCACTTTAAATGATTCGTTTTCTTTTTCAGCAATGGTGAGGTTGTTATTCAGCACGCGCTTACTTCCGTACAAATAGAACACATACAACACAACGGTAACTGGTGTTTCGGCAGAATCACCTTCCTTTAATATGGCTAGCTTTCCAGCGCCATCGCCTTTTTCAGAGGCGCGATGATTCGAGTAGAGTGTTCGCACCAGTTGCTTCTTTTGCCGATGTAAGTCGTCGTTGTCGCATCGAGTCGAACCCAATGTGGCGGGAACGGAACCCATGAAGTAGCCCCACTCCGTAGCGCCGAATGCAGAATGGTTCGCTCACACGAATTTCTTTCTAAGCTCTTGAATACAAATATAGGTACAATATAGTAGTGTGGCAACACACTGGCTATTTATTCTGAGGTTAAGCAAAAGTCAGTTTGCAAAAAGTAGATGTTCACTTTTAAGTCGGATTTCTGAATGTAAATACCGCGCTGCCAGGTTGATCGTGCTGTGGGAATGAACAATCACTGCATGAGACATCCTTGCACCATGGAATACTTGGTAATGGTAAATTGGAAAACCGTTTAAGGACAAAAGAATAGTTCTTCCGGCGTTGATCTATCGCTGAAAGATGAGCCATGAATTCGACTTCACTGAGAATTGTTAGAGACGAGTGAATGCATATCTGGCCTATAGAATGTCTCTTAGTGACCTACCTATGTATCGACGCAGTGGTACTATCCTCCCAGGCAATAGTGGTATCAAATTACCAACTCCAAAGGAATAGAAAGTTTGGTGAAACTGGGGTACGAGATCGAACCAGTGACAGCATGTGTATAGCGGGACACCTCAAACCACTGCCTTACAAGTGTCTTTCTGGTGAAACATTTAGAAAGACATATCCGGATTTCGAAAACACTTAACTTTTCATCGTATATCATTCCCTTTATTAATTTTGAAGTGAAAATGCAATGATAGACGTCGTGGCGCGTCCTCGTGTTACTGATAAAGGGCAATAAATGCAAAGCAAAAAAGAGCGAAACATTTGATGCTACACATTGTCGGGTTAGAGGAATGAACACTTCGACTCAAAAGTGTTTGGAGTTTTCAACATTGGACTGAGTACAGCCAAATTTTCCTCTACTGAGAGAACTGGAAAGAGCGTCCAGAAGAAAATGTCTTCTGAAACGTTTCCCTTAATAAAGAAAAGCTGTTTTGCTAACTAATAAGGACTTCTTAAAGACGACCTTTAATGAGTTTTAGCAGCTTGATTCAAATGTCGGAAAGAGATCACTTTTTATGTGATACGACTAAGTTTCCCAACTAAGCTCAGCTTCCACTCATGAAGACTTCTATGAGAAAGTTCCTACAAAGTCACCACTTCCTGAAACAACTACATCAGCACAACGATCGACGTTGAAGAATGTGAAACAGATTTGAATAGAATGTGGCGTGCTAAAGTGGAAAAACCTGTAAGACTAATTGGATTAATTGTTTCCACACAACGTTCTTAATAGCTAACAGGTACAACGAATATTGAAAATTATTATTGTTTTAAAGTAGATATTTTTATTTTTAGGGCGGCTCTAGAGGTTTGCACCAAGGTTAATGGATGGTTTAATCTTCCTGATAACATTTTTGTTCAGAATATGGTCACAATACTGAAACACTACCCCTTTACGTAGTTGTGCTTCTCATTCGAACTGAACGAAAAGTAGTGTGAATCGTGTAGCCGTCATTTCTGAGTCAGTGCAGGACGCATATCTTAGCATTTAGTCACACAACCTTCAATCATTAACAAAATAATGTCTGTACTTGAGATGTCGTGAACCAAAGCCCTAAAGCAGTGTCAATCATGGGAGAGTGATTGTATCAGTAAAAACCACATGAGTCGAAAATGTTCGCCCAGATTTCACTGACTGTAATTCCAGCACAACAATCTTCAACGGAGAAAATAATGCAAAGATTGCTACGTGATGGAACTTCTTTTTACAAGATCTGCCTTCACATCTACTGTACCGATCTCAGAACTTCTTATATTCCATTCACTTCCTCGCATCCGTCGTTTATAAAGGACTTCTAACTTCTAGCCCGTGGATTCGGCTGCTGCTTAAGGATTTACTCCTCGTCACGTATGTCGTTGCGTGCTGATCGAGTTGATTCTTTCTGTAGTCCTGGGATAGACAGGCTAGAGCGTTCGCGGTTGGATTGCAGAAAATTGTAGGGAGTAAACTAAGTAAACTATAACTTGTATATAATGCTGAGATATTTGCAAAACTCCCCACCGCATACACCTTGCAAATATCTCAGCATTACATACGAGTTATAAACCCGCCGAAACGTCAGCTTGTGCGTAAATAAAGAAATAAAATAGCACCTCGTGCTTGCTGAACAGAAGTAGAAAGATATACGAGTTATATTTCACAGCATACCCTGCCATTAAAAAGAAAAAGGCAGTAAATAAAGGGGTTAAGTAAACTATATTTCGAAACCGATTTTCCTTTAACCTCAGTGTGAGTAATCAGTATGTATTCTTTCTCTGATGAGCTCACACAAGGTTTATAAATATATTTATTTTCGGCTAACGTTTCGACGTCTTCGTCTTTATCAGAGCCGATGATTCGAGTCTGATCCATGTTTGTTCTTCATCTCGATGTTGCGACTTCGCCTTTGTGTCGAGCCAGGTCTTCCTCAGCAGGCCATCTCCTCGAATGAGGCATACTCACTCGGTGATACCCTTTTATGCAGGCTGCTGATGGTGGATAGCTGTCATTGTCCGGTGATAATCTGATAATAACTTGTTTTTTCCGGACAGTCAGACCTACAGAAGTCGGTGTTATTATCAGCTAGCACAAAGCGCAGTAAAATTTCGAAACCGATTTTTCTTGAACCTCGGTATCACTAATCAATATGTATTCTTTCTTTGATGAGTTTACACGAGATTGATAAAGATATTTATTTTCGGCCAACGTT